AAAGGATCGGGATTAAGGAGTAGAAGAGATTTCATACTAGTGCCCAAAGACTGCTCCAGGCATCTTGACCCCTGTGAGCTCTGGCTGGGCCACAGCAGGGCCCCTTTTTCACAAATCCAATATGGAAACAAACAGACCAGCCTTGCCCTTGAAGTGGTCAGTGGGAGCCTCTCTAAGGCTTGTATCTTCAATTTGAGGCATCGTTGTGTTTTTATGATTACAGAGCAAGAAAACATTTGAAAAAACGATGGTGATGCTACATTAATGGCATTTAAAGTTCCCCTACTTTCCACAAAGTTTGGAGTATAAACTAAAACTATTCTTCAACTATTGGCCCTTTTGACCCATTGAACTATGGAAAAAGAAAGAAAGAAAGAAAGAAAGAAAGAAAGAAAGAAAGAAAAATGTTTTCATTCAGTCATAACTATACTTCAACTCATGTCATCAATACTCACAACTATGGAGAAGTTCTAGAAAAGTTCTTAGGAAGTGACCAAAGTTTTTACTTGGCCAACAACAGAATGGATATAAGTTTAAATGTAGATTCATTATGCCAAGAAAAGTCCTGGGTAAGCAACCAACTCCATTTCTTAATTTGATATGGTTATCCAGAATACACCAATTGTTCTGGTCATGTTCATGTCTTTGACAGCCATTTACAGTTCAACAGTCAGTGAAGGTTTGACTTTGGAGGGAAGCGGGCTGTTACACCCAGCACTATCCATCCAATATATCAGTGTCAAGCTCAACCCTTTTCATAATCTTAGAAAGCCCTCGACAAGTTCTTTGATTGGCCAGCGGTGGCTTGCTATGCTCCACCAAGGGCAATGAAGTGGGAATAAACTCTAATATGGTGTGCACCAATGTGGAGCTGAACAGACAGGATGCAAGCAGTGACAGATGTTAGGATGTGTCTGTTTGGTGGGATATCATCAGTCCCTCCTCATGTGGATTTGTCTGAACTCTGGTGTGAGGAATCAGTGAGACTTTGGTAAAGGATTACAGGCTTCAGGAAACTTGGTAGATCTTTATCCAAGAAGGAACACAGAGGACTGAAACTGTAGTCCCACACCGCTGATTAAGCTAAAGCTGGGAGCCAGTTTGCTTTTGAGTGAGGACAATATTTTACACTGAGAAGTTGTAGACCGGCACTAAGTAGGCTTAGGAGTCCACCCTCTTTACAGTAATGACACTTGTGGGCTTGAATGTCAACGACAAGGGCTTCAAAGAGCTAAACTCTCGAGATCTTTAGGAAAGTGTTTGTGAAAAGGCACAAATGCATTAGGACCGTTACGACAGCCAAGACTGAACTGAAGAACATGAATAAACCTATTGTTCAGTTGAGTTTGCTAAGGAAAGGATATGGCTTAGTTACTGGGACAATCATGTATGTCCAAGATTTTAAAAACATTGCAGAGCGGCAAGATTTTGTCCCTCCCTGCTTGTCTTGTTCAAAACATTTGCATTCCATCTTAAAATTCATATAAAAGGAAAACATTCAAATCAGCATGCTTTAATTCCCATAATGGGACATGGCTCTTACTGGCAAAGAGCACATCTGTTTTAAAAAATACAAACAAATAGGAAAGAGGACGAAGAGAGAGAAGGGAAGGATCTTCCACTTCCTCAAGAGAGATAAGAAGTGCAACGCCAGCAAGTGCCTCACTGTTGCTGCGGCCTGTTAATGTTGATGACCTGCTAATCAGCAGACAATATAAACAAATGTTGCAGTGCTAGCTGCATTTCACACTTCCACACATTTAGCGCTCTTCTCTTCATTAATCCGTCTTTCAATCCCACCGTTTTATGCATGGTGCTAAGCGGGATATGGGACTCTTATCCAGTGTTTGTGTGAGAAAAGAGGATAAGGCTCAGGAACGAAGGCTAATGCTAATGCTTCGTCTAACGCTCACAAAGAGGGCTATTTATCCTGTGCACTCTTTATTCTAAACGCGTCAGGCCTTCATGCACTTATGCAGTGGGTGTGAGGAGTTTGTGTAAATTTAGTATTAGCGCCTTGATTCATCAAAGGAATAGATAGGAGATTTGTGGGACTTTCTCAGAGGTTCTTGCAGTATCTACACTATCCGTACCTCCCCCACCCCCGGCGCTTGTCATTTGGCGCTTTGCTCCTGACACCCACTCCCAGGGTGCCCCACTGTGTGTTGCCGTGGTGACCAGGTGTACAGAGGCGGCAGGTGTAGGCTCATTTAGGCGCATTAGGCCTTGCCACACGCCATAGGAAGAGTAATCATGCTTTACCTGCCTCTAGTACTAGTGCATACACAGCACAAAGAGACCGACTCGCTCTCCATCACACACTCACACACACAAATGTGGGCTCACACTCACACTAGCGCACACCTGGGACACATTTACGAGCTGATGGATCTCCAAAGGGAAAGAGAAAGGCAGGGAGGCTCTGTAGCACATGAGTGTGTGTATGTGTATGGGGGTCAAGTTTTTTCACACCTCAAAGCCTGTGGAAATGAGTGAATGGCGCCAGCGTGGGTTTTAAAGAGCTGAGGGGTGATAGGGCTTGAGAGGGTTAGTTAAAGGGTCCTGGCCTCTCATAATCCCCTCTGGTGAGGAGTGTACACCACATCTATGATCCACAAAGTACACTGAGTCCTTTATTCACTCACAGAACTACATCAGACATTTTTCTCAGTCTAGACAAAATGGGTTTCAAATGCCAAAACAACAACAAAAAACTTGCATAAAAAAAAACAGGGGTTTACAAGAAAATAAAAACGTTTTACATGTTATCTCTTATTCTCTTATTGTGAGAAAAAAATAAGTAATGGTATTCACAAATTATGAAGCTGTAGGTAACTAGTGCCTACATCCATCTCTTTAACCTGGCTTACACATAACACACTAATACGCTTCTAATATTCTTTAAAGAACTTTGAGACATGTTCACCCTGCTCTGCATGTCTGTGAAATATCTCTCAAGAAAGAATTTCCTCCTGGTCAGTGAGATGAGGAGAGGGCCTCCCACTCCATCCAGAATTCAATCCATCATCAACTTTCTCCACTCAACAGTTCATTGTTGCCCTGGTGATCATCCATGCAGAGAGAATGGACAGACTAAGAGGCCCCTTTGACTTATCATGCTGTTTTTGAACCTCTGTTTCAATGTCTGCCTTCTCCACCTGACCTCTGACCCCCACCACCCTTTTACCCCGCACCCTCCATCCCAGCCTCCCCCTACAGGCTCCAGCCACCCGGAACACCCCTATTTCACTTTTGTTCTTTCTTGCATTGCTCCTTCAGTCTGTCACTCCCCCATATTATAACTCTCTCTTTTCCCTTCACTCTTTTTTCTTGATCTCCCTTCATTTTTTCCCCCTTTTTTATTTCTCTTTTAAATCAGTTACATGAATGCTTAAAAGCATAATGTTGAATATGAATATTTTCAAATTGTCCTTAGTTTTTTTTATATATATATATATATATATAGATAGATAGATAGATAGATAGATAGATGTTGCTTCATCACAAGAAAAGAGTGGAGATTGGAGATTTATGGGACTTTTTCAGAGGTCTTTGCTTTATCAACACTATCCATACCTTCCCTCTCCTCTGGCACTGCCTCCCGCATTAAAACACTCTCTGCCTATTTCTCAGTTTTTCTGTAAAAAGAAAGTGGCAGATTTGCTGAGGTGGTCAGGCTTTTATTAGTCAATATTTGGTCTGATGGGTCAGATTATAGTTGACCTTTGTGCATTAAGACGGACGGACCAAAACTAGACCAACGAAGCACAGGGCTGCTAATGAAGTGGTTTAAACAAACTGTGATACAGTAAATGGTTTTGTGAGAGAGAACAAAGGTAAGGGCATTTCATTAAGTGCTATAGATTAAAACTACACCGTCAAACACAATTCAAAGCCAATTTATCGAAACTAAACAAGCCATCACATTGAATCCTCGTCCATAGGTGATGGTCAGGCAATGGTGGTCTGCAAAATTAACATCTTAAAAGGCTTTGACTAGCCTGATCTGTCTCTCTCTCTCTCTTTATTTCTCTCCTTTACTATATCCTGTCCATTCACAAGTTCTCACTCTCTTGCTAAGAGTCTCTCATGATTATTATAAAAATGATGGGGGAGAATGGTAGGCCAAACAAGAGAAAGAGAGAATATGGAAAAGAACAGGGGGGGGGGGGGCGAAGCACAGTGACTGCTTTCTTCTCTGTGGTGCTTTGATCATGCCGCTGATGAGTGAGACTAGAGTTGTGTGCTTACACTCTGGCCCTAATGAGGGAATTAGGGAGCAGAGAAGATCGTCCCCCATACTAACTTCCCCTCTGAAAAAAATGTAAAGGCAAGCAAGAGCGAATGAGAAAGAAAGGGCAACTAGTCAACTGTCAGGCCCAATCAATCCGTTAGCAGCTTTGCCTTTCACCTCACAGAGGAGAAAAGTTAGTGTGCTAGCTCTGCGCCAAACATTCGTCCTTGAGTTGTATGTACCAACAATATTTACAGTCTATAGGGACTTGGTGTTCATGGTGACTCTCTTATGCAAAACACATTACTGAGACAGCATAAATTCTATATGAATAGGCTTACCCAAAAATGTAAAGCAGGAGGCAGAAGATTTTCAGTAAGTAACAAATCAAATTTCACTTTGTTCCTCACACACATTTCTTGTATATTACTTTCTTGTCGCTGTCTATTCCCAGACAGCAACATAGTGTTGGCCCAGATCCGGCCCACATCTGGCCCATGTGAAATCCATGCGGGCCAGATGTGGGCCGGATCTGGGCCGAAACTGTCTGCTGTCTGGGTTATTTGTTACATAGAAAGCAGATAGGACATTCTCCTAAACATAACATTTTTTATTTCACATATTTTGGGTGGACTATGCCTTTAGGATAAAAAAAAAATATTTTAGGATAAAAATACAACAATGTATAGATAAATTGGAACCAAAAAATTAGTGAGTAGGTGTTTGTCCCGATATGGCCAAAGAACATGACAAAGTAGTAACTTACTATAGTGAGGGTCCAGGTATCCATTGCGAGGGTCCATGGCGAACATTGTCCCACGATAGGGCAGGGTGTGGTCCACCAGGTGGGGCAGAGAGCTGTGAAGCTCTTTCTTCACTAATGGAGGGCGGTCTTCTGTAGAGGTGGATGGTTCCTCACTCAGTTTTCCTGATACGCCCAGAACCATGGCCTGCCCACTGATGGCATTACGCCTCTCACGATGATACGGGGAGCCTGAACTGTCATCCTCTAAATAAGAGAGAAATAAAAAGAAAGAATATTAGTTAATTTGTATTACTTTTTTTATTTTATTGATATATTTATTATTATTATTATTATTATTATTATATATTGTTAATTTTGCATTTTGAAATGTATAGAGTACAAAGAGGACATGAAATAATGTGTTGTTGATGTGTGCTCATGGCATACATGCCTGTGACAAAAAAGAAAAAATCAATTTAAATTAAACAACTCATTTTAAGCAGTTATAGATCATTTGATAAATTTTGAGTTATATCATCTTACAGCACAATCTAGTTATGGCCTAAATCAGCAGTTCTCAAACTTTTAGACTTCTCAACCAATTGGCCCCAAAACACAATATTTAAAGTGCTTATTTTGAAACCTTATTTACATAAACCGGCAGTGGCAATATATTAAAATAATTCAATAATTCAAACAATTACAATGCGTGCATAATTATTCGGCACGTTGATATTCTTTCTTCACAAATGGGGGTTAAGGCATAACCACTGGACAGCGAAATGCTCATTGGGTCAGCACGGTCAGAAAAAAAAAAACAGGTGGAGAAGAAAAGAGACATTTTAACTGCAAAAATATAAAAAAATTAAGGTGAAGAATTAAGTGTGAAACCATCAGGAACTATTTAGTCTTCCAGCCAGATTCTGGAAGATAAATTCTTGAAAGAGTGGTACAAGAGGATGTGATGCTGGTCCTTCAAGAGTCACTCTCAACTTATCTGTCCATAAAGCCTATAAAAAATCAGTCTTCATGTATTTCACAACACTTCAGCATGTTATTCTTATTAAGTGAGGGTCATTTTTTTTATTTTTTACCCAAGCAAAGTCTCTGAGAACCTGACACATTGCACTTCTGGAGACTCCAGGTAGGATGCAGTTTTGGAAAATGGTGGCACTGGAGACTAAATGGTTCCTGATGGTTTCACACCTAATTCTTCATCTTAATTCTTAATTCTTTTCCAGTTAAAGGGGTCATATGATGCGATTTCAAGTTTTCCTTTCTCTTTGGAGTGTTACAAGCTGTTCGAGAATAGATAAGATTTTATAAAAGCATCATATGACCCCTTTAACATGTCTCTTTTCTTCTCCACCATTTTTTTTTCTGACCCTGCTGACCCAATGAGCATTTTGCTGTCCAATGCTCATGCATTAACTTTTCAAATTCTAGTATTGCATTAGTATTGCACCCTTCTCATTGGCATTTAATAATTTTTGACTTTTAGTCTGAGTTAAATCTCTTTTTTGGTTCATTTTATCTGTAAAAGAAAACCTGCCTAATAATTATGCACACTTGAATATAAGACGTTTTTCATTTCCAGCATTCCTTAATTATATATCACATATAAATGATTAAATACCAAATTAATAGTAGTTATTAACATTGATGTGGTTTGGAATTGTAAAATGTACTTGGAAAAAAATTATGATCAGAATATCAACTTGCATAATAATTATGCACGCACTGTACATGCACTTCTGATTGTCTTCTAACACTAGTGGGTTAAGCCAGGGGTTGTCAACCTGTGGGGCTTTAATCAGGATAAAACCGTATATTAAAAGCTATGTGGTTTGGAATTGGTAAAATATGCTTGGAAAAAACATGATCTCATGAATATCAATGTGCATAATAATTATGCACACACTGTAAATTAAAAATTTCCAGAAGAAGTTTCAGTTTCAATAACTGAATGTTCTTCAGGGTTTACACTGTTTCACCAATTAGCGGACATGACCTTTTTGGCAATTTGTGATTATATATATATATATATATATATATATATATTGTTGTCAGACCTTAGCCAATGCTAATATCTGTCACTGTTATATAAAAAAACTAACCTTGTAGCTAGTACTACAATAGGACAATTCATAAGACAGGTCCAAACAAACCTACAGACAGACATACACAAATACACAGAGATTCATAGGTAGACAGACCCACAGACAGAGGCAATAAATGTGGAACAAGTCTGGTCACGCTAAGTCTTTGGGTAGTGAGGGAGGCAGTGTTAGTGCTAACGTGTGTTTTAGGGAGCTCTTTATGGGTTTTGTTTGCAAAGCCTCCTGGGCTTGGCCTCTTCCAGGCAAATGTGCAGGTTCACAGCTTCACACAAGAGCAATGGAGTGTCTCTGTGTCTGTGCTTGCCACATTCTGTGAAATAAAACAGGCCAACATTCAACATCACAGCAGCAGTCAGGCAAGGATTTCCCACAAGCTTGCTCTCTTTCTCTCTCTTTTTTCAAAGACACAGAATCCCATTGAGAGGGCAGCTGAGTCTTTTCCCTGCATTCCAAACTGCCCATTAAATGGCCTCATGGGTAGTATCAACGCCCACAAGCTATCCACCTTCTCTCTCTTTCTCTTTCCTTCTCTCCTTCCCTCTACCAGTCTTTTAACGCTGTCCTTGCCGCTCCCCTACACACACACACACACACACAGAGAAAGAGAAGTACTTTCCCTATTTCTCTGTCTGCAAGTAATTTGTTCTGGCAGGCAAAGTTGGACTTGTACCCCACAGGGACAGAGTCTCCAGTGAAAATGGTCAGAGAGAAGCAAGTTTACAGGGCTTTGCAGGGTTTACAGGGTTTAGTGCTTGATCTTTGTTGAAGACACACAGCCCCATAATCTGACCCAAACTAGGACCTCTCAAGCTAGAAAAAGGAGTTAATAGTTCCGTTAATAAATAATGTTTTTAATTAATAAAACAGCCAATAATTCAGTGCTCTGGAAAAATCCTCTACCACTCCATACACTTTCACTGCTGAATAACATCACTCAATGCTTTTTAATCTTGAGGAGTTCAGTTCATAACTGCAGCTCTAGGGATCAATGAGGTCACCAATGATGTAATTTAAAGGGGTCATATGATGCTGCTAAAAAGAACATTATTTTGTGTATTTGGTGTAATTAAATGTGTTTATGCGGTTTAAAGTAAAAAAAAACACATAATTGACAGGAGATGCCTTTGGAGCAGACTCATAGGCAGGAGAGGCCTCTGGGGCAGATTCATGGACAGAAGAGTCCTCTGGAGCGGACTCGTGGACAGGAGAGGCCTCAGGAGCAGACTCATGGACAGGAGAGAACTCTGGAGCGCAGTGTGCAGCCCACACGCTAAAAATGGCGACTGCCATTACAGGAAGGGCAGCACAGTGTGGCATGACCTCTAAGATGGCAGGGCTTGAGAGCGCTGACGTTACCGGGATGCCTGCAGCTCTCACCGACATCAGAGGTGGGTCCATCACGCTAGCTATCAGTCTTTCCAGTCTTGGCCCAAGCTCCGCGTCCGACTCAGGCGTGGCGGCCATCTTGGCCGGGGACTCAGGCGTGGCGGCCATCTTGGCCGGGGACTCAGGCGTGGCGGACATCTTGGCCGGGGACTCAGGCGTGGCGGACATCTTGGCCGGGGACTCAGGCGTGGCGGACATCTTGGCCGGGGACTCAGGCGTGGCGGACATCTTGGCCGGGGACTCAGGCGTGGCGGACATCTTGGCCGGGGACTCAGGCGTGGCGGACCTCGGGCGTGGCTGCCATCTTAGCCGGGGACTCGGGCGTGGCGGCCATCTTGGCCAGGGACTCTGGCTTAACGTGAGCAGACACTGAAATGGCGGCCACGTCATGACGAGACTCTGGAAGATCAGCTGAGACGTGACGAGACTCTAGAAGGGCGGCCATTTTGTGAAGAGACTCTTGTGTGGCAGCCATCTTGCGATTAAGCTCTTCAATGGCGGCCATATTGTGAAGAATCTCCTGAGTAACCAGCATGATGTGAGCAGGCTCTGGCTTGGCAGGTGTGACGTGAGCAGGCCCTGGGGTAGCAGACATGACATTAGCAGACTCTGGCTTGGCAGACATGACGTGGAAGACCAAACAAATTAGTTTCGCTTTCACAACGAAAAACACGGCGTGAGCAGAGGTGCTGGGGTTGAGAACGGCGCGGCCGGCGGATCCGACGAAGGAGCAGCGGCTTAGCGTGAGCTGAGGCCGTGCTAGAGTGAGCAGAGGCGGCAGGGTTGAGAACGGTGCGGCCGGCAGATCCGACGAAGGAGCGGCAACCACATGTGACGACCCCGGGCTGGACTCCGAACAATTATGTAATTATTTGCTCACATTCATGTCGTTTCAAGCTCATGTGACTTTCTTTTAGTGGAACGTGAGAGTTAATTCTTGAAGACTGACAAAAATAAATAAATAAATAAAAACTCCATAAAAGTAGTCCATACAGAATATGCACTACAGTACAATCAACGTCTTTTCAATCATACGAGATCTTGACCCTAAAAATCTTGACATTTACCCTATTTTTTTCCTACATGGGTTTTGACATAAAATTACTTTGTAAACTAAACACAAATACTTTGTATATTTAATTATTATTGTGAAGAATATTTAATAATTTAAAGAACCTTATTCCACTACACAGAACCTTAGCTGCAATGGAGAGGTTCAATGGATATTAAAGGTTCTTCATGGAATCGCAGATGCCATTAAAGAAACAATGTTACAGTGCACATAATTAAATTAAACTGAGACATAATTATGTTGCTTTAGCTTATTTTAATAAATTAAATTTAATTAAAATATTTTTTTAGTGGTATACTTTTTATGGTGCTTTTGCATCTTTTCTCCTTTTGTGTTTCACATCAAAAATTAAATCATACAAATTTGCTACGACATGAAATTATCTATGAAAGAACTGTCATTTTTTGATAAACTACCCCTGTCACATGTGCAGAGAAAAATAAGACTAGCCCATCAGATGCTGATATTTACAGATTTCTGTATGAAAGTATTTTAAAAACTCAAAACATATTTGTTTTAACAAACTTCTAGACCAGGCATCCTCAAATAGCGAACCACAGTCCAGTTCCGGACCCAGGCTTGGTTCCAACCGGACCATGGGACACAACAATGGTAGCACCATTTCTACAGTTTAAAGTGAACAGCGCATCAAAACAACAGAGCAGTACACACCACAAGCGCTCAGG